GAAATGTGAGGAGAGAATATTCTCTAATAGAAAATTCTTGCGGTAACATTCTTCCACCTAACCGCGTCGCGTAGGCCCTAGTTTTCGGCGAATTCAAGTCAGACACAAGTATTGACTCTTTTTGTATTCACATTTCCAAATCAGAAATGATGTCGTCAAGTTTCGAGACTTTGGCTTGAGAGGGGTCACTCTCGCTAGTTATCAGAATATTATTTTAATTTGTGTTCATCATATCCTCATGACATGAGTCAGTTAGTCCAAATTCCAACATACTAGACAAAGATTGACTGCTCATCGCCTCATCAGAAAAAAAGATTGCGCCCATAGCAGAGGAATAAAAGGCACATTTTCCTCTCTTGTTTAGGTGTCGAAAATGAAAAATAATGACAATCTTGACTTGGCCAAGACGTAATTTTAGATTTCTTGGATCTTGGATTTCTGATTTCAATAGGTATTTCTATATTTTTTTAGCCCTTATAACCTGATAGATTAGATTAATATTGGTGTGTTGTTGCACTGCGACCTAAAGATCTGTTGTGCCTCCTGCTGAGGCCGATTTGATGTGGATCTCAAATCATAGTACTTCGTCCAGTTCTATGGCCTTGATGAGGGCTAGTAACTGGTACGGTGTCAAGGATGATAGGTACTTATTGCCCATTTTATCCGTTCCGCAGTAAAAACCCTCTTTGCAGCTTCCCAGTCCTCCTTCTTCGGCTTACTGGTGTCGACTACCGTGGTTATTTCTACTGGTACGCTCCCTGGAAAGTGCGTTTGAAGTAATAGGATGGCCTGCTCCTCTTCTCCTTTCATGTCCGGCTTTTTGAGGGCCATCACTGGATTTGTTCCTCCTTTGGCCATGGCCTTATATAGCCTTGCAGCCGTTGGAGTGTCAGCAATTTCCTCACAAAAGGTTCTGAGATGTTGCCTTTTGGCTTTTCTTATCTCTTTGTTATACAGAGTAAGCACTTCTGCGTATCCCTGCCAATTTCCGTCACTTTTTGCTGTATCGAAAAGATGACGAACTTGAAATCTCAGTTTTGACAGGTGTCTGTTCCACCATGGTGCATCTTTTTTGGATCTCGCTGTAGTCACTGGGTAACTGGATTCAAAGGCTTCCATAATTGCCTTTGTGACTTCCTTAGTGTCCTGCTCCAGGTCCATGTGGTGTCTTTTCCCACCTGAACTCAACCCACTAAGCAATGTAATATCGCTTTAATATTTTAGTAATGTTTCAAGATAACATTGTAATATTTCATTTTTTATTGCTGCTATATAAGTGCAAGGTTGCTGCAATTACTGAAACGGACTTATTCTAATATTCACAAATGCAATGTTTACAGAAAACTTTTCTGCAATATCGCCTCAAATTTGTATTTTCATAAAAAATAAATTACGTTTGTAACATTAAAAATGCTAGCTTACAGACATCTGCATTTAACGTTGTTTATAAACTTAGATAAATATTACAGTTGCAATATTTTTATTGGTACTTTACAGAAATTTACATAATGAAATATTGTATATATAATAGATATTTAATATATCGTAAGGATTTGCATTAATGCAAGATCCTTTATTTTCAAATTCCCTTTTCTACCAGTCCAACTACAGACCGGACACAATGGTTAGTTAATAAACTTCCAATTTCCAATAATTGATCTTATCACACGTGCCTCGATTCCTCCAACATAGGTATTGTAAAAAAGCCACCTAAAATTAAAAATTAAACAGTATTAAAATATCACAAAATATTAAAATGTTAAAATCTTACAACATTGGCTTTATTCTCTTCCTCTCCTAACATCTCAAGATCTTGATGAACCCTTACCCTTTCGTCCTGTTCAATTCTCTTGTATTATTTATCAAGCCAAGAAAAAAGAAGCGTCCTCCGTCCTAGCGTCCTGGCTTTTGGTGGCGTGGCGTCAACATGTCAACAACAAATGGGTGGTGCGTCTGCGCCGTTCCGAATTCCCAAATATTTGTCTCGTCTGTGTCAGTCAAATATATTTTTGCATGACAGAGACAAAGACAGCATATTGCAAATAAAATCTATCTGCAAGCTTTATGCAACATTGAGAAAATTTATGTTTCCTATTCCAAAGTTTATATTGAAATATTTAGGTAACGTTTTTTATTCTTGAAACTGTTAACGTACGCATGAAGGTATATGCAACATTACAGCGACATTTTAAAGAAAAGTTGAGCTTTTAATATTTATGCAACCATTTATTTTATTATATATGTTCAATGTTACAAACGTAAATATTTCCGCAACATTAAAGCAACAGAGTTGAGAAAAGTTACATTTCATAACATTGTTATAATATTTGCTTTACTTACATTTTATAATGTTTCAAATGTAATACATTATATTGTATCTACTGCAACATTTACTTGATAACTAAAACGAATGTTTCACTATTGAAGTTATATCAAATTTATATCCCTTCACATTGGATAAGTAATATTTCAGAAAGCTTATCGTCACATTACGTAATAAATTTTCTAGTCAGGTCGATACAATATTGCTGACAAACTTTGCAACATTACCATGTTAGTGGGAAGCAGTGAAGGTTGTTCTGTAAATTGGTTTTGTAGGCTTCCCAATTGGTTCTTCTCGGAACCCTTCGTATGGGTCTATTGTATTTTATATTCTCTAGGTTCAACTCAATTATCCTGTGATGACAGGGATGGTTCGGTTGATACTCTCCAGTTTTTGATGAGGTCCCTAATACTGGAGCTGACTAAAGTTATATCTAATACTTCCGACCCTGTTCTTGTCACGAATGTAGGCATAGTACCAACATTCAAGACCTCAAGGTCGGTAGTCATAAGAAATTTAAGCAAACACTCACCTCTATAGTTATAGATATAGATAGGTGTGTAATAATTATGGCTATAATTAAGTTCATATTAGTCTAAAAAGACGTTCTTAGAAAATTCTCAAATTTGAGAATATTCTGGAGAATATTCTCTTTTTTATTATTATCGAGAATTTTCCATCTCTATTTGTAACACGTATGTACCTAAATCAAGTTTATTAGGACTCATTTGCTATTCCGGAAATAGGAAAATTCATCCTAAAAAACTTTATTTTGGGTACTTGTTGATTTGTATGATTTTCATGGTTTTTTTTTGTAACATAGCAACCGTGAATAATTTAGATAACTAGGTATCATTCTAGGTATAATGTGGCAAGTTTCCCTCTTTTCTTTTCAGAATTGATGACAATGGCCAACAATAAAAAAAAGGCTTTCACGAAATTTTTTTTTTTTTTTTCCAAGAAATTATGGTTAAAAATGAAATAGTATACCATTCTCGACAGGAAATTTAATTACCGTTCCAATATAATAGTTCGTAGCGCCTCTATAAACTATATATAATCTCTCGACTGTAATAAATCATTTCCTGTCTCTGAGTGTACTATACTCTTTCAGAATACCAATAACTGGTAAATGATTAGAAAAATAGAAATTAATGCAAACATATTTTTAGGGATCGTCGCGCTGGTTTGCCTACTCTTACCAAAGAAATTATTTTGGGAAGTGATATTGTTGATGACCATCAAGGTAATTCGAGTATTTCGAGTGAAGAACTTTAACAATCTGCAGAAATTCATCAAGAAGCTTGTATGCCTACCCTGACTGATGAAATCCAAGAACTTCCTTTGAATGTAGAATTTTCCCCCCCACAAATATAGAACAATGAAAGGTAAGCTATATCTTTTTACTTGTATCGATTGCGTTTGTAATATTTTGTTATTAATTTTTTTAGTGAGACAATTATAGAAGAGACTCGGATTGTTTTGATTCAGCGATTTTTTGATGCTTTGAAAAATATTTCCAACCATTCACCTTTCGGCTGTAATTTGACAAACATGAAAATCATGAAGGAATACAAAATTGGGTTTGAGTCAAAGTTTACGTTGAAAGGAGATATGTGCCATTTCACAAAAACAATATCTACTTGGCCAGAACACCCAAAGAAAGTGCATATAAATACCTACCGCTGCCGTGACTGCCGTTATGAATGCCGGATGAGGTTATACGCAATTGAAAAAAATCACGGACGCAATGGATATTCCTACTTTTAGCTCTTCCCTATACAAAAGGGTCCATAATAAAATATGCGACGTCTGGGAAAAAATAGCTTGGACATCTATGGAAGAAGCGGCAAAAAAAAAATTTTGTGCATTGGAGTCAAAAATAAGTACTGTTGTGTATGCCAGCGGTTAGAGAATGATCATGTAAAATTTTAAAGGTCACACCAAAAATTTAAGGACAGGAACCTCCAATTCACACATGTTTTATAAATTGGAATGGATCGTCGACCTCGATGGAGGCAAGCATTATTGCAGAACGATTTTGTTCTAGTCTCAAAATGCATAACCTCATATTCAATAAAATGATTGCCGATGTTTTTTTTAGATAGCCGCCCATACCAGAACTGCACCGTACAGAAAATTGAATGCATAAATCATTTATTACGAAATTATTGTAACAAATTAAAAGATATTTCGAAATCGAAAGGAAACCCTGGCGTTCTTAGAAACGCTATCCAAAAAAATGTTTTGCGGTGCAGAAGTGCGATAGTAAAGGCAGTTCAATATCGACGAGAAGAAGCCAGAAACGAAGAAGCTAAAATAAGAAATTTGAAAAACGAAATCCTAAACAGCGTCAGCCATATTTTTGGTGAGCATGAAAATTGTTCACAAATTAAATATTTCTGTCTCAAAAGTCAGCCCGACAAAGAAAATTATATGAATGATTTCTGCCTTTTGGGAGTCTTTGATAGCGACTATGTCAACAAGTGTATTGAATGCCAAAGTTACAAAATTTCAAATCTAATGCCAGCAGGACAACTTCAAACTCCTGTTCAATCCCAACGTTTTGAAACAATATCAATTGATCTATCGGGCCTCTACCTGAAACCAAAGATATGGATATTTATCGTAGAAGATACATCAAGCCGATGGATTTAGATATTAACACTATGCAGATAAAAGCCTTCTTGACGCTCCCAAATACTCGTGTGGAGATAAAGTACTGGTCAACTCACACCTCCTAAGTAAGACTAAAGACTTGTACACTTCAAAATTTGCACCAAAGCGAGATGGTTCCTATGCAGTATCCAAAATCGTATCGCCTACCTTTTATGAAATGTCTTCGCCCCAGGATCCGCATTCTATATTAGGAAAGTACCATGCATCAGCTTTGACGCCGTTTAGGTCTTGTCAGAATGAGGAGCCAAATTCAGTTAGACCTCTTCGAAAGCGTGGAAGACCCCGAGGTACAACTTCAGGTGCAGACAATGCCGGTGAAGTTTCAAATAAGAAGTTATCATCCACTACTATAGAACATACTACAGATGAAGAAGATGATGGTGACCCTAGTAAATCCACAGTAGGTACCAAGAGCCTTTACTCATTCCAGAAGACTGGTTGTAAAAAGAAAATGCTTCGGTTGACAATAATAATTTTATTCATATTCACGGGACGTATCGTAGTAATGTTTTAAATGTGCTCATTCATTTTAATAAATAATAATTTAAACAGAAGGTACATATCTAAGTAATAAAGGTAGATCAAACGTTTCTATAGCAAAACTTTGAGAAGGTAGGCGCATCATAAACATCATTTTATGCACGCTGCAGCGTGCGATAATCGTTGATTATGATACATGCGTAATAAGAAAAATAATAATAATAATAAACAATAATTTTGCTGCTTTCAAATAGGTACCTATTTATTTCATTCCACGTTCCAAATTTTATAAGCTTAGTCTCCAATACACTTTAAAAAAATAGGTAAGTACACTGAATAAATATCTAACTAAGAAAAACATAATAATAATTTTGAAATTTAAAGCAAAATGGAATGATTTGTCTGCAGTTCCTATAGGTTCTGTAAGCTTATCTGTGAGTTAAAAAGGAGATACATCTAATAATAGATCTTCTTTAGCTGTTAATGTTAAAGTAATTGGATGAAAGCTGATTTTTTCTGGAGCTTTAGGATTAAGTCTAAATCTGTAATTTCTGAGTTGCTTGATCAAATTAACTTTTACTTGCATCATGGCGAATCTATAACCTAAAAAAGAAACTATTTTAATACGACAGACTTAACTTAAAGTTAGGCTGATTTACCTATGCATAATCTAGGGCCTCCTCCAAAAGGGAAAAATGAAAACTCGTGTCTCGAAGCTTTATTTTCGGGTAAAAAATTGTCCGGGTTGAATTGTTCTGGATTCGGATAATAATCTGGATCATGATGAATGCTCCAAACTGGAATTGTAACCAGGATTCCTTTTGATATAACTTGATTTGTGCCGGGAATTGTATAGTCTTTCACAGAATTTCTAGGAACCTCTGGTATTGGTGTATACATTCTAAGTGTTTCTGAAAAAGTATTGAAAACGATTTTTTTCTAAACAATAATACCATAGTCTTACCATTGATACACATTTCAGCATACTTCATATCGGCCAAATCGTCATACGTAAATTTTCCATTGGGATTTCTCTTACCAATCCTCCAAATTTCTTCTCTTACTTTATCTTGAACATCTTGGTGCTTTGCCAATTCATACAAAAGGTAGGAAGTAGTACTGGACGAAGTATCAAAACCTAAAATATCATGATTTTTGAACATTCAAAAATGACTGGGCAAATTAATTGTTACCAGCGGCATATATAGCTAACATATTCGCTGCGATTTCTTGTTCAGTGAACTGGTTATTATCTTTCAATTGAAGTAAAAGGCCCAGATAGTCATTTCTAAAAAAAAAAATATAATGGTGGTAAAGTTTGGAGTCTTTATTCACTTATGTTATTTGGAAATAACAGGTAAAGGAAACAATAGAACTTCGAGTTTTATCCTGTTTTGATGATGTGTTGCATAACAATATCATGCAATAGTAACATCGTTTACAATTTTTGGATAACCTTGTTAGAGGCCAGTTCAAGAAATGTGTTTTGGCTTGCAAATCTAATTTTTCAAAGGTCGGTCAGATTTTTTGGCGTTGATTTCCTTGCGATGAGAGGAAGACAAAAGACAACGGTATCATGTTTGATGCAAAAAAAAAGTGTTTTAGGTGTTGAAATCGTTATTCAAAAAAAAGGTCTAGTATAGGAGCTGGCAGGTTTTTCGGTGAACGATGTTTATCAAAATTTTTATTAATAAATTATGATTGTAAGCTACCTGGACATACCAAAACTGACCGTCTGCCGTTTCAGGGTGGCAGCTTTAATCGGGGATTAAATTTTAAAAAGGGATGAATTTTCATTTTGGTAAACGATATTTATCATGACCGAAATTTTCGGAAACGAATGAACAGTTTAAGGACTTATCAAATTTTATAAGTGTATACTCAAGATCCAGCTGAGCCAGTGTCATCTTTTGTGGTGAAATTGAAAAATGCTGCAAAGTCATGCTCATTTAATACTTTTCTAGATGATGCCTTAAGAGATCGTTTTGTATGTGGTTTGGAATCACCTTCTTATCAAAGAAAATTATTTACTGAAAAAAACTTGACATTTAAGTCAGCTGTGGAATTATCTTTCAGTTTCGAGCTAGCAGCTGCTCAAGCCAAATTATTTCAACCAGATAGTAGTATCCAAGGTGTTAGTGCAGTTTATACAAAAAAAAAAATTTGGTCAAAGTGCTGGTTCTAGGAAGTTGGTGAGAAATAATAGGCCTGTGAGTCAGAAGTGTTTTCGTTGTGGAAGAGCTCATGAGCCATCTACATGCCCTGCTATGGAATGGAATTGTTTTTCTTGTGGGAAAAAAGGGCACGTTTCGTTAATGTGCCGAGCAAAAAGTCTACATAACTTAGATGAACCAGAGGCGTTGGAGACTGCTTCGGGTGTCACCTCGGGTGCCTCTGAATATGTTGAGCAGTACGACTCGGATGATGTTCTGGCACGATTGGCAGCTTTAACTGGGCCAAATGATGCAAAAAAAATTAGCCTACAACTGAATGGTAAGATTATTGTTATGGAAATTGATTCAGGTGCATCAAGGTCAGTGATTTCCAATGAAATTTTTCAAAAATTGTTTAGGAGTATAGTTCTAAAACCTGTTAGTTGTAAGTTAAGTGTTGTGAAAGGTCAATCAGTTTCAGTAGTGGGGGAAATGTTTGTTAGTGTTTGTTTCAATAATCAGAAGTTTGAGTTACCCTTAATATTAGTCATAAAAACTGAGAAAAATTTCACACCACTGATGGGACGTCATTGGTTAGATATAATAAGTCCAATGTGGAGAAATAATATTTTTATTAATACTGTGTCAAACTTTTCTGAACGTGAAAATGCTGATAAAAGCCAAGCATTTTCTCACTTTGCAGCAAAGTTTCCATCAGTATTTTCAAGTTCTACTAAGGAACCCATAAAGGCGTTTGAGGTTAAATTGAAACTCAAGGAAAATACTACTCCTATTTTCCGAAAACCTTACAATGTTCCATTTGCTTTATAAGATAAATTAAAACTTAAGCTTGATGGTTGATGATGGTATTTTGGTTCCGGTGATTGGGCGAGTCCTATTGTAATTGGTACCAAAAAAAAAATGGGGATATCAGAGTCTGCGCGGATTTTAAGGTGACCTTAAACCAAGTGTTGCGTCAGGATATTTATCCTCTCCCAAATATAAATGACCTTTTAGCAAAATGAGGAAGTTGCATGAAATTTTATTTTGATGCAAAATATATTTAAAGTAAAGCTAAATACTCTAGAAGTATATTTCCATATTCAAATCCTCTTTATACTGAACCACTAATAAATAATTAATTATTCAAATATTGAATATAACAAAAGGCGCGAAAACGCTCTCAAATTGGTTATGACGTCACGGAACGGTAAACAAACAAAAGTGTGGTTATGTTAACGTAATACGTCAGCTCGATGGATTTACCATTTTATGTCGGTCATTGTCATTTTCCATTAACTAAACAAAGATACCCATATATATTTGTTACTATCATTACTACACTATATCTTTCTCTCTCTTAATATATATAGGGTGTGAGTTCACTGGAAGAGAATTGATTTCCAAAATCAACGTAACACTATCTTTGTTTAGTGAATGGAAAATGACAATGATCGACATAGTCGCTTAAACCATTGACAAAACACAATGGGTAAGAGAGAGAGGTAGTACAGAAATTCGTTTTGACGGATACCGTCTTGTGACGTCATTGTTTTATGAGTGCGTTTTGGCGCGAAGAGAGTTATTTTGAATTTCTATATTTTTTTACAGAAAAACTAAAGCCTTTTTTTTTTTAAAGATAAAAGTCAAAATGACATTACATGACACTAAATTTTTGACTTGGGGAATTATCTTTAAAAAATAACAGACTTTATTAGTTGAAAATTTAAAATTTATGTGGCAAGTGACTTTTTACAATGTGAAAAATTTAATAAGAGAATAAGAAAAAAAATCTGCAAATTCCTCATTGTCTGTGGATACCTCTTCTCAGGAACTTTTCACCATTACCACGAATTTTGGGTTGTATAGATATACTCGGCTAACTTATGGGATTACCAGTGCCACAGCAATTTTTCAAATGACTATGGATAAAATTTTAAGTGGTTTGAATGGTGTGATTTGTTCCTTGGATGACACTGGTCATGGGTAAAAATTTTGCTGACTGTTGCAAAAATGTGTGTCAGGTGCTTTCTCGAATGGCTGAGTATAATGTGAAAGTGAACATATCAAAATGTAGATTTTTTTCTGATTCTGTAGAGTACTTGGCAGGGACATTTTATCCGTTAGGACAATTAGGTCATGTCCTACGGGCCACTAGAGGATGAAGGCCAACTGCTGGCCTTTAATTTATGATATAAAATATAAAAGCCCACTATATTAAAAACATCGACTTGCTTAGTAGCAGAACTAGCATATATTTCAATACTCTTTAATTCTCACAAGAACATTTGGTTTGGCCAGAGTGCACTGCCTGACGTCACGATGCTCTGGAATCGCTCCATCGAGAATCAATCCGGAACACGCCCTAAAGTCACCGAGCTGCGCTGAATCACCGTCGCGTCATTAGCGCAGCACGGGCACGTGGCAACTGGCAACGGCTACACCAGGAACCTGTTAGTGTTTGCGCTGCTTTGCCAAATTGTAAATTTCTTTGAGCTTCTTCTGGAGCATCCAGGGACTTGAGCAGTGTCTTAAGGGTCCAGTGTACCACGAAGTCGTGCCTTGTAGTTGTTGAGGTTGTAGGACATGCACAGGCAACTTGATACGAACTTTCCTCAGAGTTGCAACCCTTTATGCATCTTTTCCTCGCTAATGGATTTGATCCCAAGCCATGCAGCTGTTCTTCCGAAGCACCCATCAGTACACTTAGTCCCCAGCATCCATATGTGGTGATGGCTGGGAGCTCAATCCCATCATTTTCTTTTAGGACGTTCCTACCATATAGCATGTTTTGTGACCATTCGTGTTCCATCATTTTGTAGTACCTTTCTTTGATTTTACCGAATACTACTTGGCAACATTTTTTGTCTTCATATTCTGCCAGATTAGTAGTTTGAAATCGTCTGGATGATTTTATTTAACCCCATAAAAAAGAACAATCACTCATGAAAGGCCATACCAAATAATTGACCTACGGGCCAGAGAAAGATTAAAGCGTCACTGGTACTTGGGGCATAGGATTGACGCCGAAGGCATACATCCAACATCTGAAAAAGTTCAAGCAATTTTGAATGCTCCTCACCCAAAAAACTTAACTGAGCTGAGAGCATTTTTTGGTTTATCAAATGTTTATAATAAATTTCTTCCTATGTTGTTATAGGTCTTGAAACCCTTATACCAATTATTAGAGAAGGGGGTGGAATTCAAATGGGATAAAGCTTGTACGAAGGCGTTTTCTGCAGGAAAAAAATGATTAATAGATAATCAAGTGCTTGTTCATTATGATCCGGTGAAACCACTCAAACTAATTTGTGACTCCAGTTCTTATGGAGTTGGGGCGGTACTGTGTCATACCATATATAGTTTTGATAGACCCATATGGTTTATTTCTGGTACTCTCTGAGGCAGAAATAAATTTACTCTCAGCTAGAGAGAGAAGCACTGGCAATTGTTTTTGCTGTAAAACGCTTTCATAAATTCTTGTATGGGCGTGCGTTCACTCTAGTTTCAGATCATCAGCCACTAAAAATGATATTTAACCCATCGAAGTTGTTGCCTACTATTGCAACATCAAGAATAACCCGCCGGGCTGTATTCTTGTCAACTTATAATTTCAACATTGTGTATAAAAAGGGTTCTCAAATTAGTCCTGCTGATGGTTTGTCAAGACTACCCTTACTTGCTGAGACTGACGTGTTGCACATAAATTCCTTTAATCTTTTAGATAATGTACCACTTACGTCTTATGATATTTCTTTTCGTACAGAAAAGGATGTGGTCGTATCTAAAGTTAGGGATCTAATTCTGCGTGGTTGGCCACAATCGATATCTAATTTGGATTCAAAGCCCTTCTTTTATAAAAAAGATGAACTTTCAGTAGAGAGAGGATGTATATTATGGGGTAGCCGTGTAATTATTCCAACAACCTTGAGATCCAAAGTATTGAGTCTTCTTCACGAAAGTCATATTGGTCTTGTAAGATCCAAAATGCTGGATCGTTCTGTATTCTGGTGGCCAGGTTTTTCAGATGATATTGAAGAATTTATTGGCAACTGTGAAACATGCCAGTTGACGCAGAATAATTTACCTGAAAAAAACTTATTATCTTGGCCAAAACCACCCAAAATTTGGTTTAGAGTGCATATTGATTTTTTTGAAAAAAAAGCAAATAAATTTTCAATAATTCATGACAGCTACTCGAAATGGGTGGATATTCATTTAATGTCTTCTACAACAGCTTCGGTTACTATTGAGAAACTTAAGATAACCTTTTCTTTGATGGTTCTACCTAACCAAATAGTTAGTGAGAACAGACCAGTCCACCATTTAACTCAGCTGAATTCATCAAATTTTGTCAAGTAAATGGAATTGACCCAGTTTTAACCCCTCCCATTCACCCTCCATCTAATGGAACCGCAGAAGAAGGGGTTCAAGATATTTTAAAAAATTTAGATAGACAACAATATGATGAATCCAAAGCTAATTATTCCCTATCTATGTCAGCTAGATTAAGCCAGTTTCCAAGGCCGATCCTAGCAGGTGTGCAGCGCGTGCCCCGCACGCGGGCGGCCAAAACTCGGTTTGCGACCTCGTCGTTCTAATCTTTCACACTCGTTATTGTAATCATGTTCATAAACGCACTTGTAATGTAATATACCGAAAAACCTGCCAGCTCCTATACTAGTCGGGGCGGAAATTTCACTTGACATAGCGGGTATGGTTTAATTATTATTTAAACTTTCCGTTAGGTAATATTGAAAAACATAATGTATAATTCATTACCTTGGTGTGCCATCATTCTTTCGAAATTCAGTGCTCTCTCTCACTATTTTTACGAAAAGATCGGTAACGTTTTGTGGAAAAAATCTATATCCTAATTTCCCAAGGAGATTCCAATTGGCAAAACATTCTAAAACAAATTTAATGGGTCTTGGCTCAACAATCGATTTTCCCGCTCTTCTAAAATCATTGTCTGGATAATTTAAGCAATCCGTTTCGAGGCCAAAGAAACATGTGGCTATTGCGTCAACGCCGAAGCATGCGGCGTGTTCTTTTATCTCTACTGGTTGTCCTTTTTTGCAATATTCTTCAACTGGAAAAACAATTAGATGATATTTACACATATCAACGAAGGCGTTTATTAGTAGTACCGCTCGGTGCTGGAAATAGCAACTCAAAGCATGATATTACGTTTTATCCGACGCTTTCATATGATCGCCTTTTAATAAGAAATGATAAAAATAATTTGGAAAATAATTAAAATTTGAAGTGAAAAAAAAAAAAAAACAATTAAAATAAAATGCGTAAGTATCGAGTCATGACCTTATGGCATTGAGTCATCTTTATAACTTACTTACTAGTAAGTTATATTAATAACTCACTAAATGAGCTATTGGTCACATTATTCATTCCAAATTGAATTACTTTTCAATGCCATTAGGTATATGTTATTGTAGCATATCGGGAAACATTTATGATAATTCTCAGTTGATGGATCTTACTTTTTGTCTCTAGCCGGTCGCTCAACTTATCAAGCATCACGTACATACTCTTCATTTTTCCTGATGTGAAAGTAGGAGTTAGTTTAGAACGTACAGTTTTCCAGTGTTCCCCTTCGAGATTGAAAATATTATTGGATAACCAGTCATTGTCGTGATGATATATTCCGTGTGAACTGAAATATTCAAAATCTGTCGTCATCATTTGTTTAATTAGGTCTAGATCTATTGGCACCCATGATGGCCTGTAGAACAGATAGATTCCACCTTAAAAAAAAAAATACACTTTTACCTCAAAAAATTATTCCACATAATTATGAACTTACCATGTTGTACTTTCTGTAGCTTGAATTGTTTATAGAAAGTTCTATGGAGTTCACTGAAACTAGATTTTTCCTGTACTGCTTTCTTGATATTGCCGTAAAGAAATTCTGGCGCAATTTGTGCTATACCTCTTCTTTTCCAAAAACAGTGTTTATGTTTCAGGAAAATATAGATGGTCACAAAAAACGATCCAATGTAAAATATCCACATCATAATTGAGCAAGCTCGAGAAAGAATTGGGATATTTGCGAATATTTCTGTAAAAAAATAATATTTTATGTTAGCTCATATTATTTATTTAGGTTTTAATTATTAAAAAATAAAAAAAATTCAAAGATTTTTTTTTATTTGTATAGCCTTATATAAATATTTTTTGAAAATGAACAATACCTACCTAAAAACATTGAGGTAGACTTTGTTTAATTTATTCAATAACAATTTAATTTAAAATGTTTGCTTCCATATACAGAATATGTCATCGATTAAAACTCTAAGGATACGTGCACAACGGAGCTGTGATACGTACTTATAGCTTGAATGATAGATTGAAGCTATCATCGATGATTAGAATCATTGGTTTAAATGTGAGCGTGCACATTGGACAAGTGAGTATAGCTGGGATGGTCGCTTATAACATAGGTACATACTAGAATGAATTTTACCATTCTTTCTGCGAGCAGAAACCAGCTGACAAGGATGGTGCATGCCCTGTCATAATCTTGTCCTTAATTTAAATTAAAATGTATTGGCACAGAATAACAAACGTTGTTTGTTATTATGTGGTATTGGAAAGTAGATGGTTCCATTCTCAAATATTGATGAAAACGATCATCAGCATCAGGTTTTCGGGGGTAAATCCCGCAGGACATACCATTTTATAGCGGAGGAACATAAATAATCGTCATCTCTGTCCGACATCGCGCAGGCTACAAGTTTGTATCACAGCTCCGTCGCGCACGTACCCTAAAGCATTCTCGCTTCTTGGGTCAGTATAATACTCTGTAAAAAAGTTTATTTTTCCTTTTTCTTGTTCCTCTCTCGCAGGCCTGACCGACTTGCTTGTCTCCACGTAGCACTGAAGCCTGAGAAGGCTTGTACTTAGCCTGTTCGGTTTATTCCAACCTCTCTAGTATTTTGGTGATGAACTCCCTACCATGATTCTGCCTGGGAGACTTTGATGTCAGACTTTTTGGTATCCTGGCATGGCATTAAATATTGTGAAAAGCTGCCTGTGTAGGTATTTAAAAAGGAGTCCAGAATCATCTCCCTGTTTTGTAATATGTGAAGCGCTGTTTTTGTTGACCTTTCCGATATAAATACCGGTCTAGATGTAGTAGTCGGCTTACCAACACACCGTTCCTAATATGCCTATCCACAAGTTTTTCCAATCTTTTGAGTTCAAATGACGTATGACGGATGGGACTTTGGAACTTTGCCGTGTCCTGTGTCATTTTCCTAGGCTTTGGTATGAACGTCACCCTAATGTGCCTCCAAAGTCTAGGCTACTTCTTAGAATATTGCAGAGTGTCCTGTGTGATAATTCAGTTCCGTTCTGTAATATTATGGAATAGATCCCAACTGTTCCTGTTGACTTGTGAGGTGATAAGGTGTGAGATGTTTATAGCCAATTTGACTTTCTCAAGGTCGACTACTTTCTTTGTGGTCACCAAGTCGTTACTGGACGCTCTTCGAGGTCTAGACTCATTCCATGTTCACTGAGAGTCTGATCAACTTTCTTTGGCCCGAGAAAGTGGGTTCTTAAAAGTACCCTACCTTCTCTTCTCGAGTATTGGTGTATTCACCAAGGCCGTTCTTGAGTCTAGCACAATCTTGAGTACTTTCTATATCCTCACAGTAGGTACTTCCTCCAAGGATCCCTAAGCTTTTTCTTGAACTTGTTCAACGTGGTTCTATATGTATCCTACTGGCCGGAACTTATGGCTTTGTTGATTCTATTCTAGCTTTTCTCCTTTGATTTGCAAGGTTCTAGTTCCACCAGAGAGCACGTTCCTGGTGGATCTCCCTGTTATAAGTGGGCAATTCTCATTGAAGGCTGAGATAATTTCATCAATTGATCCACAACGATCTCCAAATTTTCAGTGTCCCTTATTGTCTTCCTTACATTTGGAAGACTATTCTCCAGCTCACTTTTTATGAGCCCTGTCCGTCTTTCGAGGGTTCCGATAAGTTAATGAAACTGTTTTGCCTGAAATTTCAAATTTGATGTAGCTATCCGGATGTATATGTGGTCCGAGCAACTTGGCTCATCATATTTATGTCAATTTGTGACGTAGTTACTCATATGGTTTGAGGCTAGTGTCACATTAATCACCTCCTTTCTAGTTGAAATAGCAAAGGTAGGTTTATTTCTTATATTCATTTTATCTAAATTTTATCTGCACTGCTCAGCTCATTAATTTTACCGTGTCTAATCCACGGTTAATCCGAGGACGCCTTACCGTGCTGGATATTGATCTGGATTACCATGACATCTTTTATCTTTTCGATGACCCTGAAGGTCAGGCGTCTAGTTTATTATACCCCTCAGAAACTGGGTGCTCGCCAGGGTCTTGGATGGGTTTTCATCCATAGAAAAGGCCAGGAGCGGTCCCTTCTCTATTTTTTTGACTAAATTGGAGCCATTCTTCCATCCTTAGGTCTGGATTTTGTATCCCAAGGCGGATCTTGATGATTTTTACGGGTTTTGGCACGAAAACGAGAATCCTTGGTCTTTCTGGGAGATTCTCAGGGTTAACAACTCTCAGTTCTGCATCCTTCCAGAGTTGACCATTCTACGCTTCTCCTGAGCCAGTCTGCTGTCTGCTGGTTAGCGCAGGTCATCCATAGAATTCCTGCCCTGAACGATGTCCTGTTAAACTGGGGCGGATTGCTGCAGTTTGGAGGGAGTACTAAACTTCGCCTCTACTAGGGCATTTTGATGCAGGTCAGCTTGGCTCTGATCTAATGTATAGTGTTCGGGTGGCGTCCGTGAATTACCGCCAGTATAAGAGCCAGTCTGTGGACCTAATGGACCACTTCTGGTCGCCCTAGCTCGGGTATCTTTCTTTGGCGTCTAAGAGGTCTTTTTATGCTGTCGGTCCTTCTCGTCTTTTCCACCACCGCCTTGCTCTTAGCCTGAGGTTTAGCTGCAGTCCATGTCCCTGCAAGCAGCCATCCTCCTCGCCCTTCTGAGCCCCAGAAATTTGTGTGCTCACGACTTCAATGTTCCGTTATGAGGATCAACGCCGATAGCAGCTTTATCAGGTTCAGCTAACAACAATGAAAAGAAAGGTGCCAGAAGTTTACCAAGAATTTAACACCGATATCCGCCGACTGGTTAGTTTAGCGTATCCAAGAGCAACAGCAGAATTTCGAAAACAACTGGCATCCGAAAGTTTCATCAATGGAATTAGAGATACACACATGGAGAGAGACCTCTTAATCAAACTATCAAGTAGCTTTACTTACTTATTACATTACTTACTTATTGCCGCTGCATTTTCTGATATTCCAGAGGGTTCATATTTCACTCAAAAACTTATTTTTTGGCAAATTTCTGAAAAAGTTTTTGGAATTTTGGGTTATCGAGCAGTCCAAAGGTTGAACAACATAAACAGTGATGACAAGATAAAAATAATAAAGTCGATCGGCTGTAACTTGTTAGTAGACAGGCCAATGTTCATTAGTAAACTTGGGGCTCTGAGGCAAAATTTTAAAAACTATCAACAATTGAGCTGCAAACAAGAATTTTATTGAAACTTATATTATCAACAATGATATTGATTTGTGTATACATAACTCAAATATATATATTTTTTTTAAATATCACAGATTTACATTTACACCAAAATTTCATTTATAATTAGATATTATAACTATTATTATTTCATTGTTAGTAAATTTTATTTTATAATGTAACAATAGTACCTACTAAATATTTTGCCTTTGCGATAACAGTGAAAGCATGACGATCACATGGAACACAGAACACCTAATTAATTAAGTTGAAATAATAATTAATCATATTTTATGATGGGTCGTTAAATATGTGATTTATTCACTCCGAAAATAGTGAGGTACCTATGACTTTAAAAAACCATAGATGGCATTTTCCTAATCAGCATATTTTGGACGAGTGTACTTATAATATTGGTCGTTTTATGCATCAATTTCACAAATATTTATTTTCCAAGAGCTAATTTTAAAAATTCTTCCCTAGTTTTTTGATCATCCCTAAACACTCCCAACATTGTTGAAGTGACGGTTTTGCTGTTGATTTTTTGGACACCTCTCATGACCATACACATATGCCTGAAAGCAATTAAAATTAATTGCCATTAATTAGTAGACGAAGCAATTACTCACGTTCCTTCAATAATAACAGCTACCCCATTCGGTTGTACAGCCTTTAATACAGCCACCGCAATCTGTTTAGTGAGCCTCTCCTGTACTTGTAATCGTCTCGAATAAATTTCCACAATCCTGGCTAGTTTACTGAGGCCCAGTACCTTTCCGGAAGGTAAATATCCAATGGACACTTTACCATAAAACGGTACCAAATGGTGCTCGCACATTGAAAACATTTCAATGTCTTTCACTACAACCATTTCGTCATGGTCTTCGTCGAAAATAGCATTGTTTAAGACTTCTAAAATAAATAGTGTGTTTAATATAGTGAATTTAATTACAAATCATGTAACATTTGAGATTATTCATATTTTCAATTTTTTAAATATTTGCAGTGAAACTTGATACACTCTGTGAATTAGAAAATAAATGTTCAGTGAATTGGGTCAACCCAAGCATCTGGCCCCAAAGCTCCTATAATGCTTTCAGTCTTTCAGACTTAAAGGGCGGAAATCGTCGGTTTCCTGTCTGGGGAGAAAATCACTTTGTCAAGTTCGCAGGAGAGGAAAGTAGAGAAAATTATCATAAAATGCTTTAGGGAACTTTCATTAAAGATTATCTTAGTGTCTCAAGAAAAATATACAGAGTTGAAACTACCTAACTGAATTAATTCAAGTTTAAAACGTTCCATCCAATAAAATCTCGACTTTACTTTCCATCATTTATTTCAGCCGCAAGAACAATGGTCGATATCTTTTAGAATTTCAAATGTATTCTCTTTGACTTTAAAAGCAGGGCCGCCGCTAGGGTTTTAGCCGCCTGGGTGCCCAGACGATTTTCGCCGCCCCATTCCCATCTAAAGTACAAAACTTTAACGTATGAGTCGTGGTCCATGGTAAAGACGAAGGAAGGACCACACAAAAGGGAGACGCGCATCTGTAGGGACGTCACAAGGGTATCGGCGCTGGACAATATTAATTTATAATCCTTGGTTTGTGCCTCAATCGTTCGTCGGCTGTCATTGTCATTGGCTGTAACGAAATTTTCCAAAACGTGACGCGTCTTTCAGATCACTCTCCATTCTCGTCCAAATAACAGATCGCCGCCTAATTAGCCCAAAAAATTTATACTTGGGCCGCAAAAAATTTTGCGAGGGCAGGCTGATTTTTCCAGGGCTGATTGGGGAGTGTGTCCTGAGTATTGAGCCAAAAAAAAACACACTCGAAGCCTTGTGCGTTCGGCCCTATTGGCCTTTTTCTTATTTATTTTTTTTCGACAAAATGACCTTTACAAAACTTGTAGATAGTTACATTCTCTGATCAACTTTGCCTCATGACTTTTTTTGGTAGCTATTTTACTTTAGGCGCTGTGGCCATTTTAATGCTTCAGAATTCGCAAAAAAATTAAATAGTAAACCTGCAGATTATTATACCTAATAAAATTCTCTATTACTTTGCTTGATGATATTTTATTGTAACTTTATTTCTTTCGCTTGTACGGCCTTTTAGGCATTTGAAAAATTTTATTTGACCTGGTGGACATTGTGGCATGCATAGCGTTTCTAAGGATTTGACACATTTTGCAGGTAAAATGTGGCGTTTCGCGAAATTGAATTTCGCGGGCGGTTGCACAATAGCTAGTTGTGTATTAAGAGCGCAAAGTGGTACTTTGCCGATCGAAAGATATTGTTGATATTGGCAAATGCACACTTGATTTTTTTTACAATCGCATTTGATAAAAAATAGTTCAGGTTCAAAGAAAGCAGTAGTAAAAGCAAGCGCTTTTACTACTTTGCCGCTCTAGAGCGACAAAGTGAAGGATTTTGACGTAGTTTGACGCTCTAAAGCGGCAAAGTGGAGGTCATCAGGAAACGTCTCCTTTGCGAGAACAAATCTAATCGACAAAGTCTACTTTCTAGCCCGATTGTAGAAATAGTATATTACAATCCGAGACGGAAAATGCTTCATTGCTGGTCAAGAGGTTATATAGTTTGCTTTGTCAATGTCATAAATTTTGACAAAAAAAAACAAGCAAAAACTAGGCAGGCATATACATTGCAGTCCCGATAAAATGTAAAAGTACAGAAATGTGACACTTTCAAGATTTTAAAAAGTCTGTAATGTCAATATTACATACACAGTTGAAAATAAATAGTTATTTTTGTCACAAGTACCTAAAATGAAGTTTTTCAGGACGAATCATTGCTGTTTCCGGTCGAGGCGTTAGCCAAGTCCGGAATAGCAGATGAGTCCTTAAAAACTTCTTTAGGTACGTGTGACAAACACTATTTTTTGTCATACGCTTTTTAGAATTCTTCAGAACGCTGGAATTTGCAAAATTTCCTTAATTTTTGAAATCATAAAGGTGCATCCAGAATGAAAAAAAAAATCCTAAAAAGAAGCATTTTACGGACTTGAATGAGTCCGTAAAATAGCTGTTTTTGGGAGCATATGACAAAAAAAAACATTTTGTCACTTTTCAAACAGGTAACAGGTCCCAGTATTGTCAAAAAAAAAAACATCATTTCGATTTCACGCTTTCACTCCAGGAAAATAATTTCACCGGATTAGTGATGTAATGTATCATTTCTTGGACTGAAACCGAAAACGTAATGGAGTACATTACCAGTAATTTTATTAATGTTACAATAATCTACAGGTTGCTATTTAATCTTTTTGCGAATTCTAGAGCACTAAAATGGCCGCAGCGCCTAAACTAAAATAGCTAGAAAAAAAAGGCATGTGGCAAAGTTGATCAGAATGTTATTATCTACAAGTTCATTTTGTCGAAAAAAAATAAATAAGAAAAAGGCCAATAGGGCCGAACGCACAAGGGTTTCGAGTGTGATTTTTTGGCTCAATACTCAGGACACAGTCTCCAATCAATCAATTTCTTGGGCTAAATAATACCCCCTCTAAATTCTGATTCCAAAATATTCAAACCTCAATTGCTCGTTAACCGTTGAGCAAATTGCATTGAAATTTTTAGCATCTGTAGCTCTTTTAAAACTCTAAATGGCCTGTAATTTACAATATTCCAAGATCTATAGTTTTTGAGCAAATCGAGTTTGAAGTTTTTGACAAAATTTTAACTAAAAGTCAACTTTGAGGCTTAATTGCTCAAAAACTATTTGAGCTCTCGAACTCAATTTTGCACGTACTTATAGAGAATTTAATGCTTTTTCCAACAAGGGCGTAGATATGGGGGGGTAGAGGGGGTAATTACCCCCCCCAGATCTGTATTTTTTCAGTTAAATTATAAAAAAATATTTTATTAGATGAAAAATATTGGGGCTTCCGGGTTATGTAAAATATTATTATCAAATAAAAATTCTTTGTTCTTGTTCTTTGTTCTTTGCAAGTTGCAAAGCTACCTGCTAGAATGAATATAAATTTATTTTTAGAAAACCGTATTATCTATTACTGTATTCTGTTAGTAAAAGTTGTGTTGCCCCAGTTTCACACTAACACTGTCACTGAATCAGTTTAAGTTTAGTACATTTCCAGAAGAACATGAATTTGGCCATTTACAATTCTATTGTTTTTTTCTTCGATCTGCGTTCGGCTTACGTACCTACTTGTTCAGAGCTCACTCTGCCTATGAGGTCACGATATCCATGTTCATACCGTTCCGCTCCGTAGAGTGCAAAGCCGAACGAACTCAGCCATTATAAGGTTGGTAGAGTTTTAGTGATGTGTCATCTGTCAATTGTCAAAAAAACTGATTTAAAACCAATGAACTATAGCTAAAAACTGGAATGCGCACACATTGCCATATCTGCCAAAAAAATGAAGCCATGAAAGACAGATGCCACAAGGGGAAATGTTGTTTTTTTCTGTTGCTCGCTGACATATGATGTTTTCGAAAGTTTTGTCATATTTCCCTTCACAGGTTTCATCAATTGGAATACGTGTTGGAAGCAATTTTCGCCATTTAACATAATGAGTGCGACAAAAAAAGGTATCCCCTCCGCAGCAGCCGCACTAGGCTTCACGTTCGTCCTTATGTGTTAGCATTCCAGTTTTTGGTTATAGTTCATTGTTTAAAACTAGCATTATAAATAAAGGACCCCGTACACTTCTTATGGGATTTCTGACCGCGGTCAAATTCAACCAAGTTTAGTATGTTATAGATCTCACCTTTGGGCGAGTTCTTATGAGCGTAAGTTGACATTTCTGGCGTAATCACGTGATAATATGGTGTAATTTGATTGGTAAAATCTCCAGCATGGCGAATATGTTACCAATAAAATCCAACCATTTCATCACGTGATTACGCCAGAAATGTCAACTTACGCTCATGAGAACTCGCCCTTTCTGTTCAATAACTACCATGGGCACAACTTAGGGCGGGTACCTATTATAAAACTACTTTGACAGAAGTTAACTGTGGGCCGAAAGTAAATGAAATTTTTAAAATTTATTGTATTTTTTGACTTTTACATTCGGCCCACGGGTCGAAAGTAAACTTTCGACCCGTGGGCCGAAAGTAAATGAAATTGTTAATTATTGTATTTTTCAGCTTTAATCCAAATGAAAATTTCAAAATTCGAATGATTGTAAATAAAATAGTATACATACCTCGGTGAAAAGTTTCATTACTGTCTCGAGATTTTAGTTAGACCTCGGCTGCGCCTCGGTCTAACTTAAATCTCTCGACAGTAATGAAACACTTTCCACCTCGGTATGTAATATACTATTTTTTTATATACATTTTATATGCATTTACATCTACCTGTCACCTGAGCGTAAGGATACCTGTCCATCCTGATATATTTTTAGATGACAGGTAGATGTAAATGCATATAAAATGTGTACATTTCTTGGACATTAAACTACCTGTATCTCAAACACTAGTCATAGGATTATGTTGTGCTCATGGTAGTTATTGTTGTATAACTCCATGGTACTGTACCAACTAGTATTAGCAGAACATTGCCTTAACTATAAAATGTTACCTGTCTGTCAGGAGTTTAATAATAGTGACAGTAGTCAGACCAGGCCCTGCGATCTCTCATTGCCAGTTATAAACCACATAATAACTCTTTTCCGTTTTTCTAGATGTCGCTAAAAACCACAGAATTGTCAAAATTGGAAAATACCAGCACATCAAGAACACGTCCGATGTCGATAACAATGACATGAGATTGACAATATGACAATATGACAATATGCCAAAATATTCATTTGATCATAACTAATAATTCATAATGTTTTTTGATCGCCGGTCTTGCATTTCATCTTTCTTTGTGTTGTCAAGTGTTCTTAAGTGATTTCAAAGTTGTTTTGTGTGTTTCAAGAA